ATGTATACACGATGTAATGACGATGTGATTCAATCATTAGTATTTGAATCTTTAAGTAAAACAGCTGCTTCCTGCAGGACTCAGCGGAGCTGCTTGAAAAGCTCCCGCTCTGTTGGGACGAGCTAAAGGACGAGTTGTACCTGCAGCAGCGTTAATGTCGACCTTCAACACTGGAGACAAACAGGAGACGCTTTGTGAGAGGACACATCGGACACCAGGACGACCGGATCTACTTTAAAGTTTGAAGTAAAACAGTGAAATGAGAAATTATTATAGATTATAATGACTTCGACCGGACATCAACACAGAGGAGAGAATCACGAGTCGAATAGATTTCTCTTTTTCGATGGATCGTTTTTCTAACTTCTAACTTTTACAAGATTCATTTTCTGTGTTTCTCTTTTCTTTTTCTTTTCTTTAAGTAGATTTCAAACCTCCACCAACAGCCTCTGAAACCACAAGTAGATTAAATGTGCTCAATCTGGATCGGATTTTAAATGTCACTTTAAAGTCAGACTGTCATGTCTTTGTTTCGGCTGTAGGGGGCGTCACAGAGCCAGGTGAGGATGAACTCTGTGGCTCAGTGTTTATTGTTCAGTTATTTAACTCATTACTTTTATTTTGTCTTTTTATTTAAGCCGTATGAGAAAATGTGTGATTTGTGGATCTGAGCTACAGATGAGCTGTGAGTGAGTCATCGTGTCTGAAAGATAATGTTTCCTAGTTATAGTGAAAGCAACAACTTTATTTTGTTGTGTTTTATTAAATTAAATTCTTAAGTTTACTTCAGTAGTACTCAGTGTTTTAAATATTACTGTGAGTTAGTACAGGAGACACTACTGAAACGTTTTACATTGAAAAACTATGACCGGAAGTGTTTACCTTGAAAAGCGGAAGTGCCTGTGTTTACACTGTTAGCTTCTGTATGTTAGCTAACGAGCTAACAGCTGCAGATGTTTAACCGGTCACATGTTACTCGGTTCTTCAGAGAATCTACGTTCAACCGGTTACCGGAGCTCAGCGGTCCGTTCACCGTCCTCTCCCCGGGCTCCACCGTCCTCTCCCGGGGCTCCAGCGTCCTCTCCCGGGGCTCCAGCGTCCTCTCCCCGGGCTCCAGCGTCCTCTCCCGGGGCTCCAGCCCGCCACCTCGGCCCGGTGTCACCGCCGGGACAAGACGTTTGTCGTCAAACACACAAATGCCCCAGAAACAGAAACCAGTGAGTTATGAAGAGTTTCTTCTTCTGTTGTTCACCAGAGTTCACTCACATGATCAACACATCATCTGTCACCATCAGTTACCTGAAGAGTGTGTGTGTGTGTGTGTGTGTGT